CTTACTCATGGAGATTGATTATTTTAAGCAGGGGAGTAACCTGTCTATCTTTTCAGTTGGTGACCGAGAGGGTCAAACTGGTCAATCACAAGTAGAACTGGTGGAGATGACTAAGTCCTGAGACTTCCCCTTTTTTGGATTTAATTACCTGTGCCCTGTATGACATTTCAGGACGTAACCCTCATCATTGCAGCGGTTAAAGAAAACCTGCTTTCCTGGCATCGGGATATAATACTCAGGCTATTCTGTGGAGAGAATAGCTGTGGGTTGTAACACCACCTGCGACCCCCCCCCCTATCTAGCAACGGCTACGATTTCAAACAAACAGTTGTCACCAACTCCAGACACCCAAATTTTATACTAGCGTTTTGATTCAGTTATCATTTAAATTTTTTCATTTTTCATTTTCTTAATGTAGGTTTAATATTTCTATTTAAGTGTTTATATTTTATATTATCATATAATAAAGTGTTTATGTTTGTCTGTTATTTTTTTTTCTTTTCTATTCATTAATTTTCCTAGGAGGAGCAGCCTTGGTAATACTGTCTGAAGTTATTTACAGGGTGAGAATCCTTCACTCTAAAAGAACAATAGAATCAGGAGTTATCAACCCACTCTAAATGGAAAGCAAGATAGAAAAAGTGCAGAAATATTTTTCACTCCAGAAGAAGGCTGGCAGACCAACAAAACTGACATGAGTTAAAAATCCCATAGATTTCGAGAAAGGATGGACATCATGTCCACTCACTCAGCACTGGATCAGATTTAGGAATGCTCCACTTATAACGAGAAGTAAAGTACCTTAGCATGAGCACTTGGCATTCTTTGGAGAAAGCGCTTAGACTCTAAGGGGACAATTACCGGAGGCATTAAAGAGTGCAGAACGCTCCTTACATAAGGGAGGTAGTAGAGCAATAGCTAAAAATTACAAACAGTAGACTCTAAATCTCACATCATAAAAATCTCAAGTGATTTGAAACGACTGATTACAAATTTCATGGACCAACCACAAACCAGCTTAACCTGAAACCAGCATGGTTTTAGAGCAGGATGATCATTGCTGTCACAGAGCTGATGATTTATTATGACTGAAATTTGGAGCATTGGAAGATGACCAAAATGCTGATGTAATTTACACGATTTGCAAAGGCATTTGACAAATGTGATATGGGGTGTATAGCACACAAGATGAGGTCCATGGGCATTAGGGAAAGGTAGCAGATGAGATTTTAGGTTCCCCCTACACACACAATACAAAAAGTTAGAGTGAAGAGGGCACAAGATCCAGATCAGCGAGGGTCAAAGACTCAGTATACCCAGGCACATGTCCTGGCACATTGCTGTTTCTCATCCTCATAGCATAGATACAAAAATACAGCCACCAATTTTATATCATCATTTGCAGATGACACTAAAATAAGCAGGTAAGTCACTAGGTAGAAGACAGGGAGAAAGTACGGAAGGACATAAGCAGGTTGTCAGTGAGCAGGGAAGAACAACATGTTGTTCAATGGTGTGTGATAAGTGCCAGTGCTTAGGTATAGAACGATTGAAGAACTCAAAAGTAACACTTATATATAAACTCGAAGGGTCCCAAATAGAGCATAAGGAATATGTAAAAGACTGGGGAATAATTATGTCAAGGCTGACCTTTCTTTTAAAACCATAACAAGACAAAGTCATGGACAGCCAGGAAGATGACCGGTGGGATTGAGAACTTTAAATACAAGGGAAAATAATGGGATGGTGACACTCTTCCAATCCACTAGTGCTCCCTCACTTAGAATATTGCTCAGTGTGATGGCCTGTTTCAGCAGGAGAAATTCGGAGCTGGAACAATTATGAGATCATTTATGTACAGTGAGCTTAATTTATTAAAAACACCCTAAACGACTGGGAAAATGCCTTCAAGTCTTGAACATGTACTCATGGAGCAGAGGAGAAGAGGAGAGAGAGGAACATGTTAATACACTGTTTATAATTGGAAAGTATTGAGGGCCTGGTTCCCAAATCTGCACACTGCCATAACGACATACTGGAGTGAGAGATATGGGAGGAGTGCAAAATAAACCCAGTGAGGAGCAGGGGTTTGCAGTGGAGACAATAAGGGAAAAGCTGTATCAAGTCGGGATCCCAGATATTCAACTCTACCAGAAGATATCAGAAACCGGCCGGAAAAAAGTAGTAGAAGCCTTCAAGAGAAAATTGGACAAGATCTATCACAGGTGACCGAACAACAAGGGCTGTAATGGATATGTGGGGGCAGCAGGCCACCCAGCAGCAAGATAAAAGGGGGGGGGGGGGGGGGGGGGCCTGGTTGACCAGGCAAAGCACCAGACGAAGCTGGCCCATGTCGGGCTCAAAGAGTAAACAAACTCTTGAAACTCTTCAAAGGTATATGAAAGGTATAAGGTATATCCAACTAGGTATATTATTTCTATTATGCTACAGGCATGTTAGCATGGGCCCCACTGTGACAACGAATGCAGATTTTCACAGATGAATCCCAATACCAGCATGGCTGTGGCATGCTCTAGCTCAAGTCCTTTAAAACCACCATCATGATTCTCAAAATCATAACACAACTGCAAACAAATCACAGAATGTGAAGTGCTTGAACCCATGGAAGGAGAATTCTATAACCTCAAACAACACTACTTACATTATACTATCTAATCTATCCCTACCTCACCTATGTTATTTGTACTTGGGGATCCATTACAACAAATCACCTTAAGCCAATAATAACTCGACAAAAAGTGGCAGTACAAATGATCACCCAGTCTAGTGCCAGACAACATGCTCCCCCACTCTTCAGAAGTCTAAACTTACTTAATATACATAAAATTTACTCATACTATCATGCATACTACATATACAGTACAATCAATTCTAATATCAATCCTCACCTGAAACTCTTTCTTGATAGTTGTAACAGAACTCATAGGAATAATACTAGACACAAAAAGCTCTATGATATTCCCAATGTCTGACTCAACCTGTGTGAAAACTCAATGAATATAAAATAACCTAAAAGCTGGAAGTTTGCCTGAAGATTCCAGAGGCTCTCAGTTTGCCAACCACTTCATAGCTACTGTTAAAAAACATCTCATTACCTTAACATGATACTGATAATTTATTATGCTGAACAAATCGTGAAACCGTGTCTTTCATCCAATATCAACCCTGTTCTTGTTCCATCCTTCCTTCAACTCTCATTTATTACTAGAAAAGCATTTATTTTCATCACTTCAGGTACTTAGCTTCGTCTTTAATGTATCTCGAATTAGATTTTTTTATTGAATTTCTGACTACCTTCAATACAAATTAATTTTATTCTCAAGTACTATATGTGTTTCACTGTCTAGTAATTTACAATTTATGAAATGTCTTGCATAACAAGGGGCTTTCTATAAGTAGTTTATACATGTTAATTACCTTAACTATACTATACAGTACTCTACTTTAAAAAGTTGTTTGCCTGTTACTTTGTGAAGAGGAACTGTCTGCATTTTCAAGACCTTTAAGATTTCACCTAAAATGAATGTGAGCAAAGAACAATGCATAAAATAAATAATAATCCATTCTTAAACCCCCTCAAAAAGCTACTTAACAACTATACTGAAAGTTAAATTGAAGATTTTGTGTAAAGAAAACCATCATGAAAAGTTACTTTCATGATTAGAAGCACTGAAAGGATTATTAATGGAATAAAAGTGTAAAATAGAGATGCTATTATTTTGAATATAAAGGCAGTGTAATTACACAAAACTGTACATATGCTGATACTAATTATCACAATTAATAAATAGTGGATATTAAAACATCCCTCAACATTATATCAAGGAATGATCCTCAGTGCCTTTTTATCATGATACAATTAAATAAAGTTTTTCTTTTTCTCTTTTTTAGTAAATGTTTACAGGAGAAGGGGTTACTAGCCCATTGCTCCCGGCATTTTAGTCTCCTCATACGACACGCATGGCTTACGGAGGAAAGATTCTTTTCCACTTCCCCATGGACAATAGAGGAAATAAAGAAGAACAAGAGCTATTTAGAAAAAAGAAGAAGAAACTAGATGTATGTACACATATGCATGTGCGTGCCTGTGTAGTGTGACCTAAGTGTAAGCAGAAGTAGCAAGATATGCCTGTTATCCAGTGTGTTTATGAGACAGAAAAAGACACCAGCAATCCTACCATCATATACAACAGTTACAGGTTTCTGTTTCACAGTCATCTGGTAATACGGTAGTACTTCCCTGGGTGGTTGCTATCTACCAACCTACTACCAAAAATGGAATGGAACGAAACAGAATGACTTCGAGAGCGTATAAATCTGTAGTGGAGGGAAGGCGGGGTAGGAGTCGGTCTAGGAAAGGTTGGAAGGTTGGAGGGAGGAGGTAAAGGAGGTTTTGTGTGCGAGGGGCTTGGACTTTCAGCAAGCATGCGTGAGCGTATTTGATAGAAGTGAATGGAGATAAATGGTTTTTAATACTTGACGTGCTGTTGGAGTGTGAGCAAAGTAACATTTATGAAGGGATTCAGGGAAACTGGCAGGCCGGACTTGAGTCCTGGAGATGGGAAGTAAAGTGTCTGCACTCTAAAGGAGAGGTGTTAATATTGCAGTTTTATAAACTGTAGTGTAAAGCACCCCTCTGGCAAGACAGTGAGGGAATGAATGATGATGAAAGTTTTTCTGTCTCGGGCCACCCTGCCTTGGTGGGAATCGGCCGATGTGTTAATACAAAAAAAAAAAAAATAATAATTATCCATGGGGAAGTGGGAAAGAATTCTTCGTCCATAAGCCTATCGTAAGAAGTGACCAAAATGCCAGGAGGAAGGAGCTGGTAACCCCTTCTTCTGTATAAATTACTGAAGTAAAAAAAAAAAAACTTTAATTTTTAGGTCACTCTGCCTCAGTGGGATACAACTGGTTCACTGAGAGAGAGAAAAAAAAAATTAAATAATACAGTATTAAAACTTAAAAAATCGACTCACCTTTATATCTCTGTGAATGATTTGTTTTGAGTGAATATACTGCACAGCTAAGAGCACTTGATGGAATAAACCCAGGTATTTGACTCGATTTATAAGTATCTGACTGCTGTTAGTGCTGGAGGTGAGATCTGCATTCCTACTTAGCAACCAGTCCCTTAAAGACTTGCCACATAGTCCCATCTGGATAAAGAGAACCATCTGTGGAAATCTTTGACACTGCTGCAAATTATTTCTTAAGGGATGGTAGGGCAAAAGTGATTGTTTGTAACTTCCATTGGAAGATAAGCTGGAGCTTGTATGATGTCCTGGTGCTACTACACTTTTTTCATTATCAGATGAGAGAGCTGATAAAACTTCACAACTTTGAGAGCCTGGAGAGGTTAGTGTAATGGTGTTTTTAGTTTTGCTGTGATTACTCGCACAAAAAACTATACTTTCATCAGACGAGCCTTTTGTATTAATTTGCTTTTTATCACTTATTCCATTAAAATTAGCAGAGATATTATTAGGGGACTGAAACAAACCAACATTTAAAACTTCACTTTTTTTGTCAAAACTTAAAATTGTTTTTTTGGACCTTAAAACAGGAGCTTCTCTCTTATTTTGAATTTTCTTTTCTGGAGACATGCTACAATTTTTTTCAAAATTTTCTTTATATACAACTTTGCATGATTTTTGCCCCTTAAATCTAAAGTTTAATTTACTTTTTTCTTTGCTCTCATCACCAAAAAATATTCCACCTGAAGTTTCTTCGGCTTGCTCTTCATCTTCTGATGAGCTGGAGAATATGAAAAATTTTTTTAAATGAATGAAGGTGCATTGTAAGATGAAGAAGACAAGTTTATTAGAATAAACTTTAAAAATTTATTACTATGATACTTTGAAAAACAGTACATACATGTTTCTTTTCTTTAAATGAAGATCTCTCTTGAAGAGGCCTTTAAGAAACATTATTATGGAGATTGATAAATCTAATAATCTCTAATACAGACTTACAAAGAAAGTTAAGTTGGTATATGATACTGGAGTATAATTAGTAACTATGCTAAGATGGTCCAAGAGTCACACTTAGCCTCTTAAAACTTAAGTGCTCCAGATATGAATGAAACCTGAATTGAACTCCGCTGGCCTGGGGTTCAAAAGTCAGCTAGAAGTTAGGATGCTAAACTGTAGACACACAGATCCACTAATGTATACAAATACAGTACAGGATGACCATCACTAATCTGGCATCATCGGGACCTGTAGCATGCTGGATTAGTGATTTTGCCGGATAACAGAAGGGTTACATTAGAATACACTTAAGCCAACGGTCATATTTACTTATTGGTGATTTCACCCACTTTATGCCCTATTTTTGGCCCATTCCATTGTTTCATTCTACCAAACACAGCTACTTTGCTATTATTCCTTTTATTCTGTCAGTTGAGCACAAGAAACTGCTCATTTACTTCAACTGCTCCATAAAGTGGTTAGAAATTGGTAATTTGTTCAATTTCACATAAATTTCAAGAGATACCAATTTCAAAATAGGGTCCAGAATAAACAATGCAGATATTCCTGGCATTAAAATAACATTTTCTCTGTTTATTAGTCACATCTCCAGGCCCCTCTTATACATTACACTTGCTTCCCATTTTGAATTTTTATTCACACAATATATAGAAGATTTACTGTTAAGCAGACTACTGCATTATTGTAATAATTATACAGTGGACCCTCGGTTATTGGACATACAGTGGACCCCCGACCAACGAAGGCATCGTCTAACGAAATTCAACTAACGAAGCGCTTGAGTGTAAAAATTTTGGCCCGACCAATAATGAAAAACTTGACCAACATGATTCGTCCCGAACGCGTCCATGTGTCCCGTCTGGCCTGAGTGCGCCTTAGCTGCCCTGCCTTCAGTTAGTGTGCCAGTGTTCACAAGCCAGTCCGGTCGCATCCACACATACATATGGTACATTTTGTATTATTCCAGTGTTTTAAGTGCTTGTATCTGCAAAATAAGCCACCATGGGCCCCAAGAAAGCTTCTAGTGCCAACCCTGTGGTAAAAAGGGTGAGAATTACAACTGAAATGAAGAAGATCATCACAAAGTATGGAACTGGAGTGCATGTCTCCGAGCTGGCCAGGTTGTATAACAAACCCCAATCAACCATCGCTACTATCTTGGCCAACAGAAAGGCAATCACGGAAGCTGTTGTTGCAAAAGGTGCAAGTATCTTTTCGAAACACAGAGCGCAAGTACTCGAAGATGTTGGAGGCTGTTATTGGCATGGATAAATGAAAAACAGATATCAGGAGACAGCATCTCTCAAGCGATCATATGTGAAAAGGCAAGGCAGTTGCATGACGATTTAATTAAAAAAAGCCTGCAACTAGTGGTGATGTGAGTGAATTTAAGGCCAGATAAGTGTAGTTTATTCTTCATTACACAATATACATATGTATACATGTATTGTGCATCTATCCTTCTGTTTGTGTGTAGGAAAATGTATATATCATGTGGTAAAAATTTTTTTTCATACTTTTGGGTGCCTTGAATGGATTAATTTGATATCCATTATTTCTTATGGGGAAAATTAATTCAACTAACGATAATTTCGTCTAACGATGAGCTCTCTGGAATGGATTAATATAGCTGGTCGAGGGGTCACTGTAATCCGTTCCAGAAGGTCGGCCTAAATCCGAAAAGGCCACAAACCGAAATAATGGTTCCCATAAGAATTAATGTAAATACAATTAATCCATTCCAGACACCCAAAAATACTAACAAAAAATACATTTTTTAAAGATTAACTATATGTATAGTTTTACATACACAAAACAATGAGAAAGAAACAAAGTACAAATTTTAATGATAAATAAACATTACATACCTTTATTGAAGACTCTTGTTGGAGTATTGAAGAAGGCAAGGAGGGGAGACGGAGCTGGGAATCCCCCTCCATAAGGACTTCAGGTATCAAAACCCTCTCTAGGGTTACTTCTTTTCTTTGTCATTTACTGCCACAGTACATTCATTACTTACCTTAAAATATTTATAGTCTTAATGTAGGGCAAGAAGTGAGCAGTATTTATTTGTAGGAAGTCAGTGTAGGCAGCGGTAGATGTAGGTACATGTATGTAGCTTCCCTGGGTTACACTACAGAGCCATATTATTACATTACACAGCCATATTATTACACTACACAGTCATATTATTACCATGTTCACTGAGTTTAATAATTTCTAACAACTACCCTTAGATGGCATCATAAACAAAGGGAGGAGTAATAATTCATGCAGAGAATTGTAAACAAACACGTATGAAGGACGGTGCCTGGGCCAAATGCCAGATTCACAGTTTTCTCTAATGCTGAATCAGAGAAAATGCAATGTTTACTCTCCACCCGACACACCACTCGATAGCATATAAACACCGCATGTTTATATGCTATGTAACGTGTTTCTTATATAATTTTGAAGAAAATATCATATATGGATTAATGAAAATGTCTATATTAACCACAAACAAGACATTTCATGTGCCCAAGAGTGATTATTATTAAACATATATCACATATAAACATTGCATGTTTTTATATACTATGTAACGTATTTCTTTGGGCCCATAGTGGCTTATTTTGCACTTACACTCAATAAACAACCACAAAAAACAATGGATTATAATGAAATGTTTAGATGAATGCGTGGACTCTTGCTCACTCACTAAGAGACACAGCCAGATTGACTCATGCACGGGTGGGTGGATGCATCCACTACAGTCGATTTCCAAGTTGCCAGCCATAATCCAGGATAGAATTTCAGCCAAAAAAAAAAGCAGCCGAAATCCCATTTGGCCGATATCCGGAACGGCCAATATCTGAGGGTCCACTGTATAAATAATGTCATCCCATTCGTGACTGCATATTAGATCAGTCAGTTGGACATGTATTGGATGGTGACATCATTTGTTTACTCTTGAACATCGGGAAAAATTGAACATTTCCGTTAATTTGAACTCAATTTCAAGGTACTTTCCAACTCTATCAAATAAGGACAAAAAGAACAAGAATACAACGTTTATAGTTGTATTCTTGTTCATAGGAAAATACACCACAAAGTCACAGTTTTACACCAAAAACACTTTCTCAGTTTCTTCTCATTATGCACTGCATGCTGCAGGATTTTTTATAAAGTGCAGACTTACCACACAGACCTATTCTCTCACATGTAGACCCAAATTCACCGGTCACAGCTTATCTGAATGAGCTGAGCTCATGGCGACTAACAGTGGCTTCAAAGCCACCTTATCTCTAATGGACAGTATATGGTGTAGGTGCTATACACAATGAGAAACATTTCTTTTATTCGTTGGAACCATGGGTAGGGCTAAAAGTGAGCAGGTTGTAACAATAAATGGAGAAAAAGAAATTGGAATGACTTATGCAGCAAGTAGCACCACCAAGCAGTAGCGGCAGGTTGGTGTGGTGACCCCGGCAGTTTGAATTATGTTAGCCGAAATTCGTGCCGGATTACTGATGGAACCGGATTACTGATGGCTGACCTGTACATATGCTGTGCCGAAAGTGAATGGTATGATACTAACAAGATGTGAAAAAAAAAAAACCTTATGCATAGTTCATGACATTTAATAGAGGAAATGTTTTGCCATGAGTGGTTTCTTCAGTCTAAATATAGACAACTAAGTAAAGCATGTTTACAGCAGGGCCCAACTTATGAGGTTTCAAGTTACAAGGTTTTTCACTTAAGGTATTTTAGTTTTGGAACAAATTAATTACTTATAAACAATGACTTGCTCTTCTGACATTTGGACAACTGTATTAAAATCATTTTTGGGGGGCTTTAAGAAAAGAGTTTCTCTCATATTTTCCATTTTACTTTTTGGAGCAAAGAAAATGGAGTGAGTGATGGTGAAAATGTTTCTTCTTTTTCAGGTCACTCGACCTCAGCAGGTGGTGTTCATATATTTGGAAGTGACCTTGTCAGTGGACAGGTCTATGAAAGATGAGGTGAACCATATAAATGACAAGGAAAAAAAGGTGGGTGGTGCACTGAGGTATCGACAGAGACAGAGAACACTATCCATGGAGGCAAAAAGGGGAGTGTATCAGAGTATAATGGTACCAACACTCTTATATGGATTTGAAGAATGGATTTTAAATCTTGCAGCAATGAGTAGGCTGGAGGCAGTGGTGACATCATGTGAATATTATGCTGAGAATTAGAAGTTTGGAGAGTAGGTGCAGAGTTATTAAAAGTATTATACAGAGGGGTGAGAAAAGGTTAGTGAGATGGTTTGGATATTTAGAGGAGGTGGAGAAAAAAATGAAGATTTGGAGTGTGTGTAAATCTGTAGGGAGGGAAGGAGGGGTAGTGGATGCCCTAGGAAAGGTTGAATGGAGGAGTTAAAGTAGGTTTTGTATGCAAAGGGGCTTGGACATCCAACAAGCATGTGTGAGCATGTTGGAGAGGACTGAGTGGAGGCAGGTGTTTTTTATGACTTGACATGCTGTTGGAGTGAGAGTAAAATAACATTTATGAAGGGATTCAGGGAACCTGTTTAGGTGGACTTAGTCCTAGAGGTGGGAAGTACAGTGTCTGCATTTTGAAGGTGGGGTGGGGTTACTGTCATTTGGAGGGGCAGCTGAGCTGTAATATTAGCTCTCCTCTGGCAAGATGGTGATGGAGTGAGTGAAAGTGAGTAATTCTTCTTTTAAAAGGTCAGACTACCTTGGTAGAAGATGGCCAGTGTGTTAAACAATATTTTAC